CTTTGGCCAACATGCTTGCTTGGTTGATTGACTTGGCCGCCCACCTCTGTAGCTTTCCTGTATATATCCCTGGAAGTTAACTGATAGGTGGTAAGTTGTGGCTACCTAGCTACCTGAATGTAGGGGTAGGCCCTAGTAGAACCTGTAGGTTACTGCCATAATTCAAGTTTGGCAGAGGGTATGCCAATCCGTGAAAACTATAGATATCGAAATGTACTAGTAGTAAACGCTCTGATTGCTGTAGCTATATCATCGACTACGACAATTGATACTCTTAGCCGATGTATGGCCATCATATTCAGTGACTAAAAGTACAAGAAGGTATGTATGGGATGTCGATATCCGACAAAGGATATGCCGAAGAGAAATGCCGCAAAACGCCGCAGAATGCTGAACGGACAAGAAACAAAGAAACAAAGAAAAGGAAAACAGTCAACTCAGGGTATATATCTACATGCCTTTAACCTTGCCGCTCTGACGCAACAGCATCGTGTCAAGGTCTTCCTCGCTAGACTCCGGGCTATCCCCAGCAAAGTTACCCTCTGCATCAGGGTCTTGCCGAGACTTGGAGATCCGTCGTTGCCACCCAAGCATCACGGGGAGGAAGTGCCACAGGTCGAACTCAGGCCACATTACGTCAAGGAAGACAATTTCGGTATTTTCATGTGTTTGCCAGAGCATGAAGTCGCTTAGACGTTCCACGCCTGACGTGCGGATTAGGATGTCCAGGGGTGGGGTGCCCTTGGTCAACATGCGGTCGTTGAGGGTCTGACGAGAGATTGTTTCGGGGGAGATATAGACAGGGCTGTCTGATTCTGTCGCGGCGGTTTGTGGTGAGCCTTTGTGAGGCTCTTGTTGGCCTCCGTGGTGGAGGGTGGTGGAAGATGAGAAGGAAGAGCCGGACTCGTAGACACGGTTAGCGCGGTCGTCCCGATTGAGTGAATCGTCGTCCTGTGCCGACGACCCAGATGTGGATTCCGAGTCGCTGGTTGTATCATGTGTTTTCGAGCCGAGCGTCTGCGCGCGAATATTATGTGCAATATGGGTTTCCGAGAAGGGGGTGCGCGATGCGGCATTTGCGGAGCGGGTGTTTTGGATCGGCTTGCTATAATCTTCGACTGTGTCGCGGATGGCGGTGGTGATTTCGTCGCGGGAGGTATAAGGGAAGCAGATGTTCAGGACGCGGTCTCCGTTGCGGCTGGTCAGGTCGACGGCTCTGTTGACGGCAGCCAGGACATCGGGCTTGAGCAGATCGAGACGGCCCAGGACGCGGACCTTGGCGCCGTATCGATCCAGCAGATCGCCATGCTGAGCCATCTGCGACAGCTTGACCTTGGCCATTTCCATGAGCGCATCCACTTCGAATTTTGACCGTTTGAAGTTCTCGATACTAAAGGCGTAAATCGTGACTACCTTCACGCCACTCTTGTAGCAGACTTCGAGGATCTATAATAGACGGTCGTTAGTACTAGGTCGCGAGGCAGGGCTGCTGCCTCGAGAGTCTAGCTCTCAAGGTGGGAGGTCACAACTCACCCTCGCCAGAGCTTCAAATCCCAGGTTATGTCCCTCCACTGTTTCAATTCCATGCGAGCGGGCAAATCTTCTGTTCCCGTCCATAACGAAGGCCACATGCTGAGGAATAGGACCCTGCTGGAGCGCGCCGATCAGCAGCTCCTTCAGGTTCGTGATGGCGAACTCAACAGGCGGAGAGGCGAGGAACCAGTTTCGCAGTCGCGACATATGCATTGAACCCGCCATGATGTAATTCGAGATGAAGCCCGCAGACTTTAGTTCCGAGTCCCTGGAGAAGTCGGGGGAGGTGGATGGGGAGATCGAAGTGAGGCAGAAAGTGCACGGTTTAGTGGCTGGGCGGACTCGGAGGTCAAAGGCAACGTGTTCAATTATTTGAGTGAAACAGAACAGGCTGTGATGCAAGACTGGGGAGTTTTAAAGTGCATGTGAGGCGATGCTAGGCTACACAGTTTTTTCGATTTTCCTGTTCTGGGATTTTTGGCCCCTGCTCAACGCTGCTCTCGGACGTGGCAAGTTACGCGGAGATATCGGCCACAAATCTAGTTTACGATTTGTTGAGATCCCCGCCACCATAAATAGTGCAGGATACTTGTGCTTGGTTTCGCGTTGACTTGGCGCTTCTATGTTTCTCTACTTTGGATTGGATTGGATTGGATCAAAACATTCATTAACAGAGAGGATATCTTGCATGGATATAGAAACACAGCAAATGGACACAACTTGACAATAGACGCCGCTATGATATTCATGATGAGAAGCACTTATAATGGCAGTTCAAAGGTCTTTTCGGTACTCTTCGGCACTAGAGGGTGTGCCAGGACCCGAGCTAGCCATATCCCAGCTTCCGTCTTCACTTCGACGACGGCGACGCTCTCCGCGTTCCCTCATAGCATCCCGGATGCGCGAACTGACGTCCTCAAGCGGATCCTTTTGGGTGAGAGGGCTCAGCGGCTTCAGCCCGTGTCGAGACCCGGGTCGACCGCTGGCAGAGCTGCTGCGGCTATGATCACGGCTAGGAGGCCGTGTAGAGAAGAAGCCAATGTTGGCCAAGTTGTGGAACGACTCGTTGCGGGGCAAGGGCTCCGATGTAGGCATTCCCTCGCCCGCTTCTGAGACGCTGGTTCTTCTGATCTCCGGCAGTCCATGCTCCTTGGTTTCTGAGTCGGCATCCCGGAATGGCCCCGTGACAATCCGAGAGGCATCGAAGTCGGGGAACAACTCAGGACCCATGGTGTTGATCGCGTCGGTCACTTGTTGGGCGAGCGCAGCACGTCTTTCACGGAGTCTCACCAGGGTGTTGGCTGACGATGGGTTCAAGGACAGAACAAGCGGCCGGAGCGACTTGATGATGTCCATACCCACCTCACCAATGCGGAGAGCCGCAAAGGTGATTGTGGGGAAAAGAACCATGCCGATCATCACCACTGACCAGAGTGGCACCCAGTCTGGAACCAACCCTTGGACTCGGTTCCAGTAGGTCCAATAAGTGAAAGCCGCAGTGTAAAAGGCGTAGAGAGCGGGAGCAAATGCAAGGGCGATAAGAAGCTTCCATGTGGCCATGACATCCCGGCCTTGAAGTTTCACAGTAGAAGCAGCCAAGGCTTCCTTGGACTTCTTCGCAGAGAGATACTTGGTTGCGATGAAAACGGGGGTGAACAAGAGGAAACCAGGCAGTGTTCCAATTGTCAAAAGGGCTAGTTTGCCCAGGCGATAGAGCAATGTAGCCACCACCTGGAGGATAGAGAACTTGGCATAGGCAACTTGGTGATCCCGGATTCCGAGGATGCGAAGCTGTTTGTTGTAATTCACAATGGACTTACGCAGGTCAACGATTCGAGGATCATCCTTGAAGTGAGCGTATCCTTTCACAAGCCGACGGTTCAGTTCCACAACCATGGGAAGGGGAAGCTTTTTGCCCTTGGTGTTGTACAGACGACGGGCCGCTTGAATAACCTATGATTTGTGAGCTGAAGTGCCGTATTTGAAATCAGAGGAAGCTTACCATAAGAGTTTCATAATCGGGACTGGTGACAGTGACAGAGACGAGACTTCCGTAGATAATATCCAGCAAAGCACCGACGGACTCTCGTCGTTCGCCTTGCTTGAACTGCTCCACCAATTCCCGCGGGACATCGATAGGTGTACCGAATTCAATAACGGCTCGGGAACGGAACTTGTGAGCATGGAAATAGTTCATACCACAGGGAACAATTTTCAAGCCACAGTCCGGGTTCTCCGCCAGTGTACCAAGAGCCATCAAAGCCACACCAGCTATATAATGTCAGCGAGAAGTCACCTCAAGTATAACCAATAGAGCTTACCTTTCAAGGGAAGCAGTGTCGTGCGATCGTGGCTTCCACCTTCGGGGAAGATACCAACACAGCCTCCAGCACCAAGCCGCTTGAAGACTGCTTGATAGACCGCGGTTTGATCGACATGAGGGGCAACCTTGAACTTGGTGCCCTTGAAATCTGGGTTCTGCTCGGACACATCACCAGAGAATTTTCCATCACTGTCAATGTCCTTGCGTCCAGTAAGCTGGCCCAACGCGTCCCTGTGTTTGAAGGGTTTCTTGAGAACCAATTCCTCGGGTCCGCGGACCTCCGCAATAGCAGCACTGTGTGAGGTTCCGTTGATCGTAGGTAAAGCGATAGTTCCGTCCTTTTCGAAGCCCGGTCCTTCAAAGTTCGTTCCGACACCGCGTAGCAAAGTTGGCTCGTTGATGGGATCAGGTAGGTAGATGGTTCCAGTGCCCGGTTTCAGGTTGTCCATGGCACGTGCCACGGGGAGTGTTCCAATGCCTCGTGCGAGGAATCCGATAAATTTGCGCCGGAAGGATTTTTCGGCGATGAGCCACGAGATTCGACGGTGAGCTTCGCTGCGGATGACGCGCATCAAAACTAGAGAATCGACAAACTGTGCGAAAACACGCGTCAGTATCTTATTTGCGTCTCAGAAGCTGGCGACTTACCTGGTTGGCATGGGGCGCGGCCACCAGAATGATGGGACCGCGTCGAGGGATCTTCCATGATCCTCGGGGGTGCACTTCGCGGAAGAAGAGGTCAATCAGCACAGAGAAAGTCCACAGGACCAGATCGTACATCCACCCGATGAGGGGTGGAATGTAGGGTCCTTTGTCTCCCATGTTGTAAGGCCCGGTTCGGCGATAAGGATGATGTCTTATGATGTCGACATGAAGTTCCCTACAAATATGAGTAACCCCACCGGATGAGCTTGGAACAGCTCGGAAGAGCTGGGAACATACCTGGACTTCTTCTGTTTACTCCCAGCTACCGTATCAAATATTGTAGACAGTGAGCACGAGATCAAGGGTAGTGAGGAGAGGAAGTTTTTCGAAACCGGAAGTTGGCTTTTAGCGCGTGGCTCGGACGCTTCTAGAACAGGTTCTTTACGATCTTTCGCAATACTTCAAACCCTTGATTGATTCAAGTTGAAGCCGGACATATAGTGGCTTGAGACCAGAGCAGTGCGCAGGCTATTTATATCGAGTTGGAATGTGACCTGGGAGTTCTGGTCATTTACATGTAATGTACTTGTTAGCCCCAAACACAAAATACATCTATGAAGTCAACCCCGGATTTTAACCCCTCATCCCAACGTCTATGCAAGTTCTGTTGGGAAGATAAACCTGTCAAAGCGTATGCAGTAGCGGATCGGCCAAGCCGTGCATTCTGTATAGACTTAAGCTTAATGCAGTGGAGAAGAAGGCCTTTGATCTACAAAAAAGAAGTTCAGTTTCCCTGCAGGTTCGCCTCTCCCCGCCTGCCCCGCCCCAACTTCATCTCATTCCTGACTTTCTCTCTGGTTCTGCTTCTCTTTCAAGGTTTGCAGCTTTCCTTGATTTGGCCGAGTCACCTGCTCTAGCTCCGGAGGTTCCGTCTGATCTGATTCCGACCTGGCATGATAGTCCACAATGTCTCTCAAGTATGGACCCTTTTCAGACATGGAAGCATTAAAACTGATTGCTTCTCTAGTTGGGTAATGCTTCATGACCAGGAAGGCTTCGTCCGTCTCCCAAATGAACGCTTAATATACTCCTCGCCTCCCCGCACAAGCGTATCCTTGACCCCACCATCCGGGTACAAAGGCACAGAGAAGCTTTCAGTTCAAAGCAGCGCAGGCTGTATTCATCTCACCAACCAAAGAGTCAGTATCATCCATCTACCTATCGTGGACTTTTCTCAACTCCTGACCAGGTCGTCTATCTCCCCGCAAACAGAACAAATGACTTCCAGTCCTTCTCCTCACCCCTTCTAAGTGTCAAGGACTCTCATGTATCAGCGCCTTTCTTCGGTCCCAATGTGTGGACAGCGCTGGTACAGCCCGTATCAGGAGGGGGCATTTCACCATCTCTGCCAGCCGTGCAGCTGAAAGTGACATTCAAGGAAGGGGGGGCCTTTGATTTCCACACCAACTTTGAGCGCATCAAGGAACGACTGGAACAGGCCGTTGAAAATACCAGTGAAGGCACCCGCGGCCAGCAAAACGTGGATCTCTCGGCTGTCCATCTGGAAGAGTTGCCCGCATACGAAGCGCCGCCCAATGCTAGCCAGACCAGCGCTGCTCCCAGCGAACCACCCACAGAACCTCCAAGCAGTCGAGTATCTGATGCAGGCACCGAGCCCGTGGAGCCACCTCCATGCTATGAGGCGGTCCAATCGCAAAGTGTGGCAGATGAGCTAGAGGCGAGGTTACGGCGAGCCAGTTGATTATCTGATATGAAGCCGGAATTCATCTCACTTAATGATCCCATTAAATATTTCAACTTGCCAAAATTTCCCGTTATACACATGTACACTATGAATCAGTTAGCGACACGAAAGCGGTGCGACGCACTTAGAAGATGCACAGATCTGCTCCTCACCAGCGGCTTATAAAAAATAGTAAAGCAAGTATATATATTTCAGGATGTATACTGTGAAACGAAACACATTAAATGTAATTAAATCACCTCCAACAGTATCCAGTAGTCAAATAGTCAAGACAGACCATCGACCAATCACGTGCGGCATAATTGGCGTCTCTCAGCGGCCGGGGCTTTCCGATTTTCCAGTCCGAAGCAGCTTGGGCAAAACCAACAACCTCCCTCAATTCCGTACCCCCTTCAATCCCACCCCCAACACCCAGGACCCCCCGGTCACCTTCGTTTAATTCATCACAATGGGTCTCTCCGACTTTTTCTCTGAGGTCGTCTCCTCCCTGGGCTTCGCCGAGGCCCAGGCTGAGGCTCCCGCCCAGGAACCCGAAACCACCCAGGACGAGTCCTCCGACAAGACTGAGGCCTCCGAGAGCACCGAGTCCGAGTCCGCCGAGGAGACCCCCGCTGAGGAGTCTTCTGAGGAGGCCCCCGAGGAAGAGGAGCCTGAGGCTGAGGCCGAGGAGGAAGAGGAGGAAGAAGAGGAAGAGGAAGACGAAGAGCCTGAGGACGTCAAGCCCAAGCTCGAGGAGGGTGAGTGGCCCTATTGTCATTTTCTTGTGTTTTTTGATACATTGCCCATGTCTATTGCCCTGCGATCGCAGGTAATGGGCAATTGGTCGTACCCATTCGTCTTATGTGTCAGGATCAGCCCCTGCATCGTAAAGCGCCAATGGCACTGCAATCACGTCGAAACAATGCCTGCTTCGACCTCAGATCGGTAACTGACTCTTTTCTGCAGAGTGCGCCAACTCCGCCCAGTGCGCTCCCTACAAGCACCACTTCGACGAGTGCGTTGAACGCGTCACCCGCCAGGAAGAGGATGAGGACTACAAGGGTCCCAAGGAGGACTGTGTCGAGGAGTGTAAGTACTAACGACAATCAGAAATGATCAAATGATGGAACCGGACACCCCTTCGAATTGTCTGTCATCGAGTTCCGATTGTGCGACTAACACCATCCCAGTCTTCCACCTCACCCACTGTGCCACCGCTTGTGCTGCCCCCAAGCTCTGGAGGGAGCTCAAGTAAACGTCTCACCCAAGATGTTTACATCGGCGTCCCAATACTTTCCCGCATCGATACGAGAAATCCCTGGACCCCGCCGAACCGAAAATCCAATCCCGTTTTTCTGATGGCCGCCAAGGCATTTTTAGAGGAATAGCCTGGTGGCTTGCCTTGGATTGAGAACGCAGGATTGATCAAGAAACCCCTTCATCGATTCTTTCCTCGTGTATGTGTGCGCATATTATGTTGTGTTTTCAAGGCAGGGAGGAGGGCTCAGAGGAAACGAATAATAGATCACACCATTCTCCCTGCCTTGCATGTACAGATAGCTGGTCTTCCGCCTGTTCGAACTGTGCTTTTGTTTTTTATTCTCTGTTTAAAACGAATATCATCTGTCTTGATTGACACTCGTCTGGGTTTACTAGTCCAGTATCCTTCCAACGCATGGCTATAATTGCTTGCAGTGATGTTGCACCATCAATTGCTTGTTGGTTATCAGTATGTTGATTCGCTAATAACGAGAACTATACGCCCGCTTAAATAGCATCGTATAAACATCACAGGCCCAGATAGAGGGCCAGACCCCAATCCGGTAAGATCAAGGGGATATATACAGCGCTGACCAGGACCTACCTTGCAGAAAAAGAATCGTCCCAAAGACAAAAGTCGCAAGAAAAAGTAAATGAGAGACAAACATCTTGCAGTTCAAGCCCAGTAACACAAAACCATCAGCGCAAGAGAGTTGTGGTATCCTTCGCAGAAACACCAGAACCGCTCGAATCACCAGTACCCCCAGAATCAACTGAATCAACTTTATCAACCTTCTTCGAACCCTCATCCCCAACAGCATCCCGCAACTCAACCCCCGAATCAACAATCCACCTCCTCTTCTCAACAACCCTCCCAAACAACCCAATAGTCAAAGGAAAAGGCGCAGCAACAACCGCAACAACAGCCGCAAAAACCAACGCATTCCTCATATCCCCAGGCAGGCGCGCCCCAACCCCCATCTTCAACGCATCCTGAATAAGAATAAAACAAGCCCCAAGCAACTGCCCTCCAGTCCAGCAAATGGTACTCCCAATCTCCGGCGAAAGGGGATAAGTAATCTCCGCCAAAAACTCCAGCACAATCGGCAACAAGGTAAACGACGAGGCGCCCAGTAACGCCATGACAACATACGACGGCCCAATCCCTGCGCTACTCCCCGGCGCGAATATCAAGCCGATATAGGTGGCTGCAACTATCGGGACGAGCACGCGGATGCTGCCGAGGTAGTGTTTATAGCGGTCTGTTAGTGGGGAGAAAATTGCCGCTGTGATCAGGCCCACGACGATTAGAATTGCGCCGGCGACTCCGGCTTCTGTTTCGCTGAAGCCGTGTGGACCGAGGATTTGGTTTAGGAGGCTGCTAATGCTGTTGAAGAAGCCTACGTATATGGAGAATGGGAGGAGGATTTGCCAGAATTCCCAGGTGCGGATTAGTTGTTTTGTTGCCGTTAGGAGGGGTATTTGCGGGGTGTTGGAACTGGAGGCGCTTGCTGGGGTTGGGGGTTTGGCGGGGAGGAAGAAGGAAGGGATTGCTGCGATGCTGGACTAGGTGGAGGGTTAGTTATTGGGTTGCGGTGGATTGATATTGGTAGGGTTGGTGGGTGGTGGGTGACACTTACAATGATGGAGATGTACAACACCATATCAGGTATATCGGAAGGTTTGGTCGCCCATATCGAATCGACGAGCTGCCCTATAGCTGCGCCGAGGGGATTCGCCAGACTGGCAACAGCTGTTGCGCTTGTTCGGCCGCGATCTGAGAACCAGAGCTCGCTATATCGTGTCGGCGCGCAGAGACAGAAGGGCTGCGCAAAGCCGATGAGGATCTGGCCGAACATTGCTAGTCCGAAGATACCACCGTTTGCTTTTGTGCCGGCATATCTGAGCCAGTTGCCGACTAGCAGCAGGGCTGCTGTCGTTACGATGGCTGGTTTTGGGCCGCCTTTGTTTAAGATCCAGATGACGAGGCTGTATTGCGGTCAGATAAGATCGGGACTATTGAAGCGTGGTATCCACTCTCTTATACTTACGGGCTGACGACGCAGAATGCGAAGAGGAAGGCGGTGCTCATCCAGTTGATGGCACTCTCAGATACATCGAAATATTCGGCCGCTGTGGTTGAGATGGAGGAGAAGGTTAACCACTGTGAGGAGGGTTAGCAACGGCGATCTATGCGCAATGCGGTATAATGGGCATGGACATACATCCCAACTAACGACGATGTTTAGCAAGACTAACTGGGCCAAGCCCCAGAACCGTCGCTTATACACTTTGTACACTGGCGCAACGGCCTCGACATCTGTCGTGGGAGTCGACATGTCTGGGAGGAGTTGAAACGGAAGCCATGCAAGGCACACGAGGCACACGAGATGATAAATGGAACAAAGAGAAAAGCCAAATGTTACATCTTCTTGGCTCTCTTAGCGGGGCTTCTTTCAACTCCGATAGCTGCCCAGGTGCTCCGAGGTAACCTAAATTGGGTACTTCGCGATACATTAATCGTCATACTATGACGTTGCATTCCGTGGGTACCGATAGGTACACAGGGCTGCCATGTGCGGAGAGGTGCGCTTTGGCAGCAAATTAATCTAAATCTGACAGGAAGATATCAGAAATGCCGAAATAAGCGAATATAGAGCCAGTTATTCATTTGTATAGCGGAGAACTCCCCAGTCGTTCGTAAATAGAGTGAACTGAACCATCCTCGAAGGAAGGTCCTTTATAGTTGTGGCTCCGCTTGCATTCTTCAGGGGTACGAATATGAAGCTTCTATCCTCTACTTTTACCTATCTACTCGGTACTTTTACCCATATCTATTTAATGTTAACTATAATCTATAACGAACCTGTATATATCGATCTATCACCTTCAATTCTCCGAATCGAACACATCCAGAAATTCCCGTGGCTGAACTAGCCGATGCAGATCGTCTTCTCCTTCACTCCCCGCCATCTTTTTATGACTGCGCTAAACTAAAAAGCCCACTTCATCTCTTCTCCTGATTCTAACAATCCCTGTCCTTTTTCTTTTCCCACCCGATCGCAACCACCGACCGCAAACCGCAGACTCCAACGCCCGGAACCCATGATGCGCGGCCCCTGTCCCTGAATCCACCGATTGAACGAACTACAGTATTTTGATCATTGAACGAGTGGTCCACCATGAACAGTATCCGCGACAGTCAGTCTTCCTATGGAGACCCTCGATACCTATCCACCATGACCGCCTCCGATGCGCCGGCGCCCTTGCATGGGAGGTCGCTTGTTGATGGGTATCGGGATGCTCTGGATCCCCAGCATGATGACCGGTCGCGGTATAACCCGGTAGGTAGAGATATTATAGATCTAGGAGATCAACCCCAAACCCAAAGACCGACTCCAGCTAATTGTTCGCTTTGTTTACAGCTCAACCCATCCCACCCGCGTAGCTCGGTTCTCCTGAATGCCAACGACCCCGTGACTATGTACTTGTTGACCGAGACCGCCATCGGGGATAGTCTGAATTATGAAGTGCTGTCCTTTGATGAAGTGGAGGAATTGAAGAAGGAAAAGACCGTACTATCCAGTCGCATCGAGGGCACGAAGCGGAAATTGGCGCTGGAAACCAAACTCCGCGATGCCGCTCAATCCCTTGGCCGACTCTACAGCCCGCCCAGTCCGCGAAGTAGCGGCGAGTATGGCGCGAATGGAAATACACACCGGAGGAGTCGCAGTATTTTCGGACGGAGTGGTGCTTCCGAGGCGCTGAACAAGAGTGACTCGGAGCTCGCGGTGAGCCAGCGGAAATGTGAAGAGTTAGCCCAAGAACTGTGGAAGCTGGAAACGAGATCCCAGAAGATCAATCAGCGCTTGCTGGAGCATACCGCGGGTGTGCTGCAAATGACACACAAGGGTCTGAAGAAGGGACCGAAGAACCCTGCTCTGGGTGGATCAGAGAGTATCTACGACGGACACGAATTCGACGATCGCAGCCTCTACCGGACGACGGAACATTTGGATAGCTTTGGCGTGCACGGCAGGATCGAAACGAACGCCACTGCGGCCATGAACACTGAGGCCATGCAGGCTACCGAGAGACGCTTGGAGGAACTCAGCGAGCGCATACATGATATGATGATCCAGTCCAACCCTGGTGAATTTATTGACCCTCCTCCCCAGCCATCTACGAGTGGCGGGCCGGTCAACCCCACAGCAACGGTCAATGCACACCTGGCATACATTCAGAATGGCATGAACAACATCGTGTTGCACACGGGCTCCGATGCCCCAGCTCCCGCGGCTGTGAGCGAGGTTACTCCAGAAGCGGAAAGCGCCTGGAAGACCAAACTCACCGAGATCAACAATCGAGTACAGAATATTGTTGACCGGTTTGGCTTGACACGTTCACCGACATTGCCGCCGCCTCCTGATGCCACCCACGGCGATGGACTGGAGGAGCAACTCTCTTACCTCCAAACTGGTGTTGATGGTTTGGAGAGCCGGGTAGATGGCCTGCTAGAGCAAAAGAGCATCCTGACAACCCAAATCCAACAGCAGCGCGAGCTCAACTCCAAGTCAGATGCAGAGCGAGATGCCCATATCGGCGACTTGACTGAACAGTTGACCCACGTGCGCAGAGACCTCGAAGTCTCCGAGCGCGAAAACAACGCCAACCGCGAGGAGCTGGCTCTTGTCACAGAACAGCTCGACGCAATGCGTCACAGTGGCTCTTCTCAGGAAGAAGCCAAAGCAGCTCTTGTTCAGACAGAGGGTGAAGTTGCGCGCTTGCAGAGTGTTGTCAATTCATTGCATCTCGAATCTGATGCCAGGATCAACGAAGTCAGCGAAGCGCGCGATGCCCAGGATCACGCCGAGGCTGAGGTCAAGCGTCTGCAAAACGTCATTGAGTCTCTGGAGAGAGACACTGAGGCTAGGGCTTTGGAAGTTAGCGATGCTCGTGACCGCGCAGAAGGCGAAGTCCAACGCCTCAACGTCCTCGTTCAAACGCTACAAAATGATACCGGTGCTAAGTCTAAGGAGATCAGTGATGCTCGTGACCGTGCCGAAGGCGAAGTGGAGCGATTGGAAATCGTGATCCAAACAATACAGCAGGAACATGCCGCCCAGACTGAAGAGATGAAAGATTCCCTCTACCGCGCGGAGAGCGAGGTCAAGCGTCTTGAAGATATCATTGACTCGCTGCAAAATGATAATGCTGTCCAGCATGAAGAGATCAGGAACGCTCGTGACCACGCAGAAAGTGAGGTTACTCGCCTACAAGTTGTCATCGAATCGATGAAACATGACTCTGCTGCTCAGACCGAGGAGGTTAGAGATGCTCGTGACCGTGCAGAGAGCGAAGTGAAGCGTCTCCAAGACATCATTGACTCGTTGCAGAACGACACCACCACCAGAGGCGGGGAAGCACTGGAAGCTCGTGAGCGCGCAGAGCAAGAGGTAGCCCAGCTGGAAGCTGCCATTCAACAAATCCGCAACCAATCCGATGCCCGTGTAAAGGAGGCAGATGATCAGCGCGCGCAATCAGACGCGAACGCGGCTCGCCTGCAGAACGAGATGACCGAGCTCGAAGGCGAGATTGTGCGGGTTACAACTGAACTCACGATGGTCAAGGCAGAGCTGGATGGTGCCTATGGCACTCGGGCTGAACGTGCTGCCGAGGTTGCTGCCAATCCCAGCGTTCAGAAGGAGAATGATGCTCTGGTTACCCGGAACATTGAACTCACTGAGGAACTCGCTCTTCTTAAGAGCCAGCGGGGAGGCGGCGATCTTCAGCAACGGGCGGATACTCTTGAGAGGGAGCTTCGCGAGACCATCGATGACTATGAAGCCATGACCAAGGCCAGCATTGAGTTCGAGAAGGAACGTGAGCGCTTTGAAAGCTTCATTGATAGTCTCCGGGATCGTTGCGAGCAGTTGGAGACCCAGTTGGCGGAGGAACGTATTAGCTGGATGAACTTGAGTAGTCCCACGTCTATAGGCCGTGATGGTGCTTCCGAGACGACATCTACAATGGTTCTCAAGAATGAGTTCAAGAAGATGATGCGTGACACGCGTAACGAAAATATGAAGATCTTGAGGGTGAGTTTCTTTCCAACATACCTCATATCTCAGTTGACTAACTATCCCCAGGCCGAACAGGAAGAGCGTCGCAGAATCGAAGGATTGCTGCGAGCACTAAGAAAGGAGCATGCGCAGGTGACTGGCAAGATGCCCAGCTCCGGCGGTACTCCGTTATGATCATGACATTCTACATTTCGGGATTGAGCGTTTGAGAAGAAGTGTACATATAGATTGTTTTGTATAATATTTGCATTTGGCAGGCACGATGAAGGATAGGAAATCACGATCCCTTTTCATCCAAAACTGCTTCCCCTCCCATTGCTTCATATTCATATTCTCTTTGCTGGGTTTCGCTCTTTGGCCTCAAGATGTGTGCCACTCAACGTCGGGGGGCAGTCTATCAATCCAGTAACCCCAACTCACAGTTCTTCTCGGCGTCACAGAGTCTCCGGCGCGGAAATCGAGCTCGGCATTCCGACTCCCTCTCGCCATCTTACGATAACCTCGATTCATCCGGGTCGTTACAGGGCGATGACAGATTTATATACAATGCCATCAGAGTCAACACCCCAAATGAATCCCACTCTCGCTTCTATGCCTCCTTCACTCATGAGAATCCCGTCCACGAACCAGGTCTTGCAGTAAACATGGCCATGTTCGTTCCAACTGGTTCACAAGACGGGCCCTCCCCATCCGGCAGTCCATCCAAGAGAAGAAGACCAGCTCGAATAGCCAAAAAACCCGGCCACCACTCGAAAATGTTCTCGGATCAGTATGTGCAGACCCCACGCCGGTTCAAGCCGTCCTTAAATGGATCAACCATAAAGCCAACAACCTCTCACCGGTCACTTCGCACGGCCGTTTCCCTCGGAGCAAATGATGACAACTCACACAGACCGAGATGGCCCGCGAATATGGGAGCTGCAGTGACGCCTGTCCAACCTCGATACCCACCACCAGAAAGAACCCCTACACCTCCCGGTCTTCCCTCCTTCGGTACTCCCGAGGCAATGCGTTACTCTGCGCGGTTTATGGCCCGAGACAACAATACACGCCTGAGTCGACATGCTGGTCATGCTGATGAACGAACAAGCCCGTACATTGACTGTTTGAGACGATTTTTTGGTTTATCTTCTTCGGCGTCGCGTATCAGTGGGCTTTCTGTTGTTGGGATTGGAAGAGCTGAAGACGGAACACTCGTGCAGGGTCGGTTTCCGTATCGACAGAGTGGCCATGGAATGAGTGTAGCGCGGCAATTGAATGAACATCCGTTTCATGAACGCTTTCTTCCTGTGGCGAGCCCCGCCGTTGTCTACCCTGGTCGCGAGGCCGATGTCGAAGCTGCATACGTGAAGGAGACTTCTCGTCGCTCTAACAGACTTGTTCAACCGTTGGTCAATTCTTCGCACGGACGACTTTTATCTCCCGGTAGTCCTCTTCCTTCGAACCCGGCTCCTGTTACGGTCCGTCGACCTGGGCAACCAAGGCCGTCGGCACTTCTCCACCTACCACGCAATTTGTACGGTCTAGACGGATCACCCAGAAGTGCTGCACCTGCAGTGCCGGTGGAAAGCTCTGGTCTAGGAATAAGGGCACTCGGAGACCACTATCCATCCAACCCCTCGCGTCTACAATCCGTCCTTACAATGGCTGTCCGTGGCGGTGGAGACAACGAGCCTAACACAGGCAGGTCGGTGTGTCCAAACGCCCTATCCTGGGTCAACCCTCAAACATGTCTGAGCTGCTGTTTGGGCGGCACTGACAACGAGGAAGCCGATGAGCCCCTCGATGTGGTCAGCTCTCGGGATACATATACTACTGCCAGGAGCCAGGTATTGCTCGTCGAATCTCAGAATGAACCATCTACCGGGGATAAACGTTCCGGATACTGTGGCCTTCGGTCTTGGGTCTCTTCTATGTACAACCCCACTGTTGTATAGGCTCTGGTTGGGTTGGCATTCCTAAAAGTCTCGTTTCTGCTGTGACACCTCTTGGTTTCATGCACTGACTCTGCACATATACGCTTTTTGGTGCTTGCATATCGTTATCGGTGTTTCTCCTATGTTTTGACCCTGTGTACATACAATCCACTGATTCCAGCTAAAGGGATGGCGTTGGTGTCGCGACAGATGACTCTTACTACACCTGAAACTGTATAGGTACTTCTCTGCTATCCATAACGCATTATCAGATCCATACCTTTTCCAATGAAACTTATGTAGTCAACTAATATCTTGGACTATAAGTCCCGAATCCCGAAATCCCATCAAACACTGCCTCTCACTTTTCGGTAACAGAAAAGGTCCACTCCTGCGGGAAAAGGCTATACTGAATATCCTCCCTACCCCGGAAGATATCATCATAATGCGCAATCTGCGACCCAGGGTCCTTAGCCTGCCCATAATACCGATCCCCCAAAGCCCTAAAAACAGGATCACTCCACATCTTCTCCATCCAAGCCAGAGCATCAGGACCGGCAGCATCCAAAGGAACGCCATACGAGCGGAATCGCTAACAAATCATCAAGTCAGCAAATCAGCAAAACACACGAAGCAAACAAAAGGGAGCAACGTACCCAAAGAATCGGCCAAAAGAAAGCATCAGCAACAGAAAACCCCCGAACAAAAAACCCCCATCCTCCTCGCCCAACTCACTCAGTCTCTTCTTAGTAACAAGTCTAGCAGCATCCCAAATCCCAAACATGCGCTCAATCTCAGCCATCGCATCCTCGGGAATCGGCACATTACCCGTATACCGCGCGAGGAAGTTCGTAGGGAATGTTTTTCGCAACACCGAGAACCCGGAATGCATCTGCGAGGCCGCTGTGCGGGCTAGGGCGCGCAGTCTGCGGTCTCGGGGCCATAGGGCGAGCTCTGGGTGGGATTCTGCGAGGAATTCGCAGATCGAGAGGCTGTCGCTTATTGTTGTGTTTAGGGTGTTCACTTGCAGGATTGGGACTAGGCCGGTTGGGGAGTGGGTTTTTATCTGTTTGAGGGGTTTTTGTTTGTTAGTTTATGGGTTATGGTAGGGTATATACTTGTTTTTGTTTTTCTGGTGGATGGATGTAGTAGATATGCTTGGGAATGTTGGGTTGAGGGTTCGTATATGCTGCTGGGTGGGATTGGTATACTTCGGAGAATTTGATGAATTGGTGCGTGTGTGGGATTTTGAAGTACTCCAGCACGGCTTCTACGCGGGCTGTCCAACCTGGGGGTTCTTGGTTAGTGATGATTCATGAGGTCCTTTTGGGTTGTTCTTGTTCTACGTACTGGAGTACCGGGTGTAGAGACCAATGAGGTGGTAGTCGGGGGTTTGAGTAGCCATGATGGTACTGGTGAAGTTGAAGTTGAATTTGAGTCGAGGGAACTCGGGGGTTATGAGGATTTCAGGGTCGGCTATGAGCGGGATATACTTCCAGATGACTCAAGTGTCATGTCGTATTCGGTCCCACTTGCCGGAAGATGCACGAGATAGCTTAGTTTAGTCTAACGTTAATTACTGTCTTACAAATTGTAGCTCTAGCATTCGCAATGATTCAATTTCTACTCTATTCCAGACAGTTAAACCAATTAAAACAAAGGTGATTCATCGCTGTGTACAAGAAAACAAAACAAGGCCATAGAAACAGGCAAGAACAAAAAACATTAAGCAAGGTATGTACGTGAATAGAATGGAACGGTAACCAGTTGATAATCCCGCCCAAAAATGGAAGCCGTTCATCTCATGATATCATTAAGAAACTTTGGGGGATAACTCTCATTCTCTATCCCCTGGCATTATACTTCTCGTTGAAAGCATTGACCGCTAGGAGGTCAGTTAGCTTGAATCATAAATCCAATATAGGTTTAAGAGTACTCACCGACAGCAATCTGCCTATACAGCCAGTTGCGCGAACTCTCGTCCTGCACGGGGATGAAAGGCCCATTCGCACCACCTTTGAGAGTAATGCTCATTCCCGTGCGCTCCTTGGAAATAGTCTGGATGTCTGTGAGGCGAATGTCCCACTCTGTGTAGAGCTTCTTTGTGCGAACGAGCATGATACGCGCGTACGTCAGTAGGACCAGCATGTCCCGGCCAGGAAGTTCCAGGTGGGCGATGTAGTCCTCGTTGAAGTATTTGCCATCGTCGGTTGTCTTCAGCCAGAATTGACCGAGAGCTTCCCGCTGGGAGTACGGGCGGACGATACCATCAGTGCCAATGAAACGTGTCAGTCGAACGCGATCAAGACCCTCTGCATCGAAGACGGTTGTGGTGTTGCGCACGCCTTCGGCAAGATCTGCGAAGAAGACATGTTAGCTGTGAATATTAGAGGAAGAATGTGCTTTAACTTACTAGAAGCAAGGTCGAAAGCACCAATTGCTGGCTTGGTGGCGAGTCCAAGAACACCCTTTCCAACGCCCTTGAAGAATCCTTGAATACCTTCCTTCTCGGCGCCCTGCAATGGATGGCGCGCCAGACCGCCAATACCACTGGCCAAGCTGGTGGCGAATGCATTTCCACCAGCCGTGATTCCGTACAGCGCATGCTTGGGACGATTGCGGACCTTGGACATCCGTCGTTGGGTCTGGAACTCCTTATCAAGGGTAGCAGCCGCGAGACCCTTGGACATACTTCCAGTGAGCTTAGCCATACTATCAGAGAAACCGAAAACAGATTTCTTGACGAAGCTTGTGGCACCCTTGGCGATACCAATTCCTAGCTCTTGGGGTCGATCCGTCATGACCAGACCCTGGTATGGCTCATAGAAGATGGCAGCAACACCCGAACTGACGTTGTTGAACAAACCGACAGGGTTACCCAGGAAATCAGCTGAGCCGAGAATGATATGGATCTGGCGGAGGAACTCTTGAGTGTAGTGCGCGCGGATGTTGCCGACCAGTCTGGGGAAGGAAACACGGGCGTTCTCGAGCATCAGGGCATTGAGTCGAACAGGGGCATCGTTGACATTGCCCATTGACATTGTCATGACGTTGACAAAGAACATCAATGGGTTGGAAGGCTGCATGGCATCCTCCACGTTGACGCGCTCAGTGCGCATGAACGAAATGTCCATTTGCATAGGCTGGAGATGAAGAAGCTCGAAGTACACATCTTGACCGTTATCTGCCTGTTGAGGCTCTGGGATATTGAGGTCTTCGTCGCACAGTGTGCCCTCTTGCTCTTCGGTCCATGACGCACCGGGGATCTTGACAAAGTCAAGCATGGCAAAGACGAAGTCTTCATCCAGCTCCAGAGTCATTTGCTGCAAGAGCAAAGTGGCATACTTGATATACAGAACACCATAGGAGTCGTCCTTGACCCGAGTCACCATTGTATGGAAGATCGGGTGTGCCTCCATTTCCTTGCCAGTCTTTGGAACAACACTGGGGTAAAGCAAGATGGGGAAGATACCACCGTAGAGCTGGTTATCGATCTGGATCCACTTGATCGTAGTGTTGAGAGTTTGGTACAATTTCGATTCCCTGAACTTGATCTCAATCTCACGGAAAGTGAGATAGAGCAGCTCCTTCAGGTTCTGGTTGATCAAAGAGATACCAATTCCACCAAGACGAAGCTGGGCCTTGAAATTGACATCCGAGTTCATTTCCTTGACCTCGAATCCAGTGCCGGTGCCTGTCTGTGAGGACTGCCCTCTTTGTTGCTTGTACATACTCTTTGATGGCTTAAAGTTGGACAACACGAGAGTCTGGGTGGGACCATCGGCCGCAATATTGATGTCAATGATTTTCTGGTACCCACCAGGCTGTGATGGTGGAATCCGCATTGGGATCAGATTTCCGATCTCAGCAAGCTTGATGTGTCGTTCTTTGCCCTGGCAGGTCAACACAAGCGACTTGTTCTTCGTCGCCGGGTAGTCCCATGCATATGGCATGATACTGCGCGGAGGAATGCGGTACCGGATCGGTCTCCAGCCGCTAGTCTGGTCATCTTCATCATCTTCCACGTTGGGATTGGCTTGGTAGAAGATGAATTCGGTGTCACTTTCATTGCGCATCGAGAAAGGCCAGTTACGAGACTCGAAACTGAAGTGCAGGAAGAGAGTTGCTCCTTCCATGATTATATCGGCCTTGATCAGCTTCTGGCGCTGATTTGCCTTGGCCAACTTGACGTGAACGGTGCCAACGTCTGCGATATTGAACGGAGAAGACCACTGGTTGTTGACGCCTGGGAAACACAGGCAAAGCTGCTTCTCTGCGACTTGACGAAGGAAGTGAAGTGGAACCAACTCCCCACTCTGGATCTGGAGAACGTTGGATGAACCCGGCTCGCGCACCAAGAGATCCTCGTTGAGCTTGCTCTTCAGAATGAAGCGCGGTGCGAGGGTAACCACCTTGGTCAGCTTGTACTTGCCCTCGCCTTCGGCAACAGAGACACCAGAATGGAACTCAGATCTGCCTTGACGGTCAGGGAAGACGACCTCGAACGTACTACCAATAGCCTCGAAACTCTGTGGCTTGCTCCATGCGGAGTCGCCGACCTTCATGATAGATCGGTTTCTTTGGTCCTCATTGGCATAGGAGTACATGTATGGCAGCGCACGGCCGCCCTCTCTGGGGTCGACTCTGAGTCCTTGGCCTGCTGCATTTCTCGCAGACTGGAGGAATGCCTTGCTCTGGATGTCCATAGGAAGACCAGTCTTGTTCAGAACAAGGTATGGACTGTACACAGAAACCTTGAAAGCACCGCCACTGTTGGGGATGTTGAAGTAGTGAAGCTGCAACTTTAGCTGAAGACCTCGTTCATCCTTAAGAGACAAGGTATGCTCCCTGCGGTAGTCCTGGGCATTGCCATTGACAATGGCAAATTCGCTCTGTCGGAAGACTGTATCCTCCAAATCAATGCTGAGCAACAGAAGGTGAGATAGTTCAACAACGTGGACCGGGCTCACTCCACCCTTTCTCAGGAAGTTTGTCCAATCCTTCTTTGTATTCTTGTCATAGATGCGATACTTGAAATCGTACGGCAGAAGGTTCTGGATCTCCACAGGAGCAAAGATTCGGACCCTCATGTAGGGATACACTCCGGTAAGCGAGTCCTTGCTGTCAAAGGTGGCATTGACTTGGAAGTAGAATGGCGGGGCCTGTTGTCCACTCTCGCTGACACACTTGACAGTTCGCGTGGGTCGACGAATGAGGTCTTTCCAGAACAGTTGCTCATTTGACCAGTCATAGCCGAAGCCCTGATCAGGCCGAATAACGACGGAATGAAGGTAAGCTGACCCAACAGGTGCTGGTCGAGCATCGCCCGGCAGGATCTTCTCAATCTTCAACAAGTGGCCTTCTCCAGGGCTGAAGACACCCAGTTCGACGGGGATCTGTGTGTTGTTCTCGATAAGAAGCGGCGAGCGGAAGGTGATATACTTGACGTTATCTTGTCCTAGTTTGACCTCCACGAGCAGGCGGTGGAGGACATTCTCTTGCTTTGGCTTGAGAGCATACACTGTCTCGCCTTCGCGAACGACAGGAATGCGGCTGACGCTATCGAATCCACTTCCCTCCAGCTTGACACCAACCACTCCACCGTGGCCTTCTGGCGTCAGTGTCTCACGGATAGCTGTGGAGTCTTCAAATCGCCAGGGCGATTCCTCTCCGTCGCTCAACTTCGCCGCCGGTCCATCCTCTCCAGCACTAACATCGGCCCAAACTCTGAGGTCAAAACCAGTGTAGTTGCGGATTCTGTATGGGGCATCGGCGCCTCTTGGCTTGGAAAGCACATCCTCGACGGTAGAAAGGAATTGGAATGACTTCGAGGCAAGCGCAATGGTAGCAGATGTCACGGTGAGCTCCATAGTCTTGTGGGAGTATGCATCGATAGAGAAGATATCCGGGTTGACCTCCTTGGCCATGTGGAATCCAAGTTGCCAGGGCTCGATCAACGGCTCCCAGGCTGACTTCGAGAAGTTGTAAACATTCAAGAACGTCTCGAAGTTAGTATCAGCGTTCAAAGTGGACGACCAGTCGCGCACGTCAACGTTGAATTTCTTGACGCTCCAGTCTAGCAAAGGTAGATCATGGAGATCGCCAATCAGAATGACTCGAACACCGTCAATCTTGGCAGACAACTCTTCCCGCTTGAGGACAACCGAGCTCCTTGGTGTAGCTGTTTGATCGTGGTGTCCGCCAGATTGGCTCAGACGCCGAGCCCTATTGGCAACAGTCATGGACGTTTTACTAGCAGAGCGCGCTCTAGTGCTCTTGGCATCGGAGATCTTCTTCGCCTCTCCGCCTTCGACGTGCTGGGCATTCTGAGCCCTCATCTCGGAAGCCTTGTTGACAATTTGAATTGCCATCAGGATATCACGCAAAGACAAGCGAAGAACCAAA